GGAGTGGTGGGGGGCGGCCCAAGGGGGTGGGAGAGGGTCCGGCCCATGCTGCGCCTGGGCTGGGACTGGTCCCACTGGCGCAGGGTAGCAGGAAGCTCTCCCACACACTCACCGGAACTGGGCTAGGACTGGGTCTGGGGGTTCCTGGAACTCGGCAGAAATTCCTACTCAGCGGGCAGGGTGGGGGAGGTGCTGCGGAGTGGTGGGGGGTGGCCCAAGGGCGTGGGAGAGGGTCCGGCCCACGCTCCGCCTGGGCTGGGACTGGTTCCCCTGGCGCAGGGTAGCAGGAAGCTTTCCCACACACTCACCGGACCTGGGCTAGCACTCTCAATTTGAATCTTAATTTGGAATTTAGTCAGTTTGTGAGTATAATTCTCCAATAGCTCTGTTTCACACAAATGTTCACACTTCCTTGGTATGTTGGGGAGTTCTTTTTCTTGATTTTTCACCTGTTTTCAGTTTCAGCAGCTTGAAATGTATATAATTTCTTTTGTCCACAGCTCAGTAACAAACTGACTTGTATGAACTACTGACTGATTCAGTAATTCCAGTTTTGCAACTTAGTATTTTCAACATATCCACCCCTTGCAAGCCAGTGCTTTAAAAATTTTCTCCTTTCCAGCATTAACATCATGAACTTGCTAGGTTTTTTAAGGGAATAAAACTACCATTTTCAAATTTTGTCAGATTAATATTTAGAGTGTATTTACTTATCCTGTCCATAGTAGCAAAGCACTTTTGCCTAACACAAATTTGGCTTAACAACATGCAACTTACAATTTTATATGGCAAAAAAACAGTATTTTTTGCCCAATACATTGCATATTTGGCATGTACTTTGATGGTTTGAAAACTTTAGATTGACTGAGTTTACAAATCTACAATGGTGCCTCAGCATACAAACACTTTGTTGGTGAACTATGTGGTTCTCAAATAAAAACATTTGGCCAAGTTTTGTTTTTGTTTGCAAACTCTGAAGCAGGTGACAGACAGGAAGGACCCCAACCATCTTTCCCACACAAATGGTCATCTTTTCCAGAATCATGGAATGATATAAGTTCATGAACCAAGGTACGACTGTATCTTAGGCTTATCACGCTATGTGTAACAATTTTAGACTTCATCCTTTTTAACTAGATTTATCCATCAAATCCTTCATACAACCCCTCAGTACCCGAGAACATATTCCAACTGTCTTCACATACAAATGCTAGCTTGGTAAGCACATGCTCTTGAATCAAAAGGATTTCCTTCCAACTCTGAAGATGTTGTTCCATTGTCTTCTGGTATTTAGAGCTGCAAGAGAAAAATCTGAGGTCACCCTGACTTTTCCCTTTTTGTGGTAACCTGGTTTCTCTGACTAGATACTTACCAAAATTTTTCCTTTATCCTTGAAATTTTAAAAAGTCACTAGGTTGTGGCCATGTTTTCCGTTCTTCTCAAAATGTTATGAAGGTACCCTGAGGGCCTTCTTCATTTACAGGCCTACTTCATTCTTCCATTCTGTAAATTTTTCTTCAATTATTTCCTAAATTATTGTTTCAACTTCATTTGCTTTGTCCTTTCAGGGCTTTCTATAATGAACAGATTGAATCTCCTGGACAGGACCTCTACATCTCTTTTCTCCTCTTTCCTTAATTTGTTCAGCCTTTTCCTCTGAATTCGTAGGACTTTCTTTGGCTAACGTTCAGGTCCACGGTTTTGTTTGGTGCCCACTCCTGGTGGTGGTGCTTCCTTTCAGTGCAAGCCTGTGGTCTCATCCATGTGACCACACACCACCCACTCTACAATTAAGCCCACACAGGTAAGGAATTGTCCTGTAGGACCGTCAGCACTCTCTAGATGTCATGCGGAGTAGCGTGTCGGCATCAAGGAGAGACGTCTCCTCTGTTGCTTAGCTCTGGTTTTATCTTCCGCATTGCTTTGACCTTTCGACAGTTCTTCTCAATGGAATCAGAACTGCAGTCTTCCAAAACACCAAAATTGAGGAATCCATGCTTAAGAGCCTAAAGAGCCTCCTCTGTGCACAAGGCTGCTAGTTCCAAGCAGGGCAGGCGAGGCACATGGCGTTGGCTGCTGGTACGCCACGCAAAGGTTTTGACTTGAGAACACCACAGTTTTTCTTGATCCCAAACTGATCCTGAAAACATAGTTTGCATAATCACTCCTCTGTTACCTTTTATTTCCATCCCTTGCTTTTTTTCTCTATTTTCAAATATTGCCACCTCTTCTCTCTCTTTTCACTCCTAAATTTGCTTTGTAATTGGTGTTGTTTACCATTGTACTCAAATCCAATTATCATGAACTGTTGCATGCACTGGCCCTTGATGAACCTAGAAATGCCACCAACAGCGAGCTGCCTGGGGCATGCAGAAGGAGGATTACTGTGCTAACTAGAAAGTCTCTGCAGAGCTCAGGCCCGCGCCTGGGCGTTCTGCTGGTTATGTTAGTAGCAAGTATGAGAAGTGAAATATATTTTTTCATTCAAAAATTATTCTTCTAAGTTCACCTTAACCAAGAGGAACCCTGAAGAAACAATTACAAAGTTGGATTTTTGTATCAATTCATGCAACCCTTCCCACAAGAATCATTGTTTTAAATTTATTTTCAAAAGATGGCAAACAATAGATTTTTCCCATAATTAAAAAAATAGAGAGATTCCATCCTAAGCTCTCTGCAACTTACCTTGTATCATTACAAAGAGAAAGAAAGAACACAGTGCAACGTTGCTTATGAGTGATGATAGACTGATGAAGAAGAAAGAGGCCAGGTGAACCTTAAGATACATGAGAGCTTGGGCCAGGGAGATAGCTCAGTAGAATAAGCACTTGCCTGGCAAGCACAGGGTCCTGAGTTCAATCCCTGCTACCGCAAAGAAAAAAAAAAAGAAAGAAAAAAAAAAGAAAAAGAAAAAAGATGCACGAGATCTTTTTCAGTCTTGGTAAATCTTGACACAGCTCCTTACACAAACCAGCAGATTGCTATAATAGAGCAGGGACAAAGTAAAATTCCCCATAGAGCTCTTTCCCAAGAAGTTGGTGTGCTTTTAGATGAGCCCTGTATATAGCTGGGCCATGGGCATGAACTTTGACTGTAAAGCAATAAAAATGTTTTCTAAAGATTGAAAGCCTATTTTTAGATGGAATACTAACCAAATGAGGCTGATAAAATGAGCAAAGTGGGCCGCGGAGTTAGCTCAGTGGTCCACGCGTCTGCTTAGGCAAGCACAGGACCTGGGTTCCATCCTCAGCACTTTGTGCAGGCCCCACCCTGGGTGCGCCAAGCTGGCCGCCAAGACCGGGCATGATGGCACTTGTCTGTAATCCCAGCACTGGGGAGGCTGGGACAGAAGGATCACTGTGAATCCAAGCTACAGAGTGAGACCCTGGGCCAAATACATAAAATTAAAAGACAGAGAGAGAGAAAAGAGAAGTAGCTGAAAAGTGATCTCAGTAAAATCTCTGATTTATGAAAAGCTATGAGATAAATGACAGTAAGTGGACGTTTGTGCTCTGAAAGGAAAAGCAGCAGGCAGACAAGCTGCAGGGGGGCAGCGGGTTGCATTAGGACACACTGTCGACCAAGAACCACAGAAACACTGCCCAGGTTGTGCATAGACCCCTTATTCTAAGAAAGAAAAATGTCCCTTTTGTAAGTTAGCCACGTGTATTCTGGCTGGAAAGCAGAAAGACAAACCAGCCGTCCTTTGAGCTTCTTGTGATACTATAACCCTCTCTACCATGGAGTTTCCAAATTAATGGGGCTTTTGAGCTGTCCAGCTTCAGAAATGAGATTCGCAGCACCAGTGATGGTCCAAGGCCATGCAGGTGCTAAGCATGCAGGTTGTAACAATCACCCAGTTCTCTCAACTTTTAGTCTGTGGTTATGAAAAAAAGAAGAAGAAAGAAAAGCCCATCTCTTGGATCCATTTGCACCAGATATGCAGAAAGCCCAGCCCTGCCACCTCTGCCAGTGTAGGCTCACAATGATTTTGAGTGGCATTTCCATGTCCACCGATTCATGCCTTCTGCGTGTGGTTTTCTCCGTGCACACCAGTGATTGGGACCCCCATCTACAGGGTTAGTCAGATGAAAACTTAGAGATGGTGAACCTTAATGTTAAAGCCATGCTGTCCCAAACCAACCGTTCTGTGTGCTGGCTGTTGACCAAGTGTCTTTCTGCTTCTCTCCGCAGGCTTCACTGCAGCAGCATCCCTCGTCTCCTTGGCATGGGCTCTGGCCTCCTACCAGAAGGCACTGCGTGACTCCAGAGATGACAAGAAGCCCATCAGCTACATGGCCGTCATCATCCAGTTCTGCTGGCACTTCTTCACCATCGCCGCCAGAGTCATCACCTTCGCGCTCTTCGCATCCGTGTTTCAGCTCTACTTTGGCATCTTCATCGTCCTCCACTGGTGCATCATGACCTTCTGGATCGTCCACTGTGAGACAGAGTTCTGCATCACCAAGTGGGAAGAGATCGTGTTCGACATGGTGGTGGGGATCATCTACATCTTCAGCTGGTTCAACGTCAAGGAGGGCAGGACACGCTGCAGGCTGTTCATTTACTATTTTGTGATCCTCTTGGAAAACACAGCTTTGAGTGCACTCTGGTACCTCTACAAGGCGCCCCAGATAGCAGATGCCTTTGCCATCCCAGCACTTTGTGTGGTGTTCAGCAGCTTTCTCACGGGCGTTGTTTTTATGCTGATGTATTATGCCTTTTTTCACCCCAACGGGCCAAGATTTGGGCAGTCACCGAGTTGTGCGTGTGAGGACCCCACTGCCGCCTTCTCTCTGCCTCCAGAGGTGGCCACAAGCACCCTCCGGTCCATCTCCAACAACCGCAGCGTCGCCAGTGAACGCGATCAGAAATTTGCAGAGCGCGATGGATGTGTACCGGTCTTTCAGGTGAGGCCCACTGCCCCATCGACCCCGTCATCGCGTCCACCACGGATTGAAGAATCGGTCATTAAAATTGACCTGTTCAGGAATAGGTACCCAGCCTGGGAGAGACACGTGTTGGACCGAAGCCTACGAAAGGCCATTTTAGCCTTTGAATGTTCCCCATCTCCTCCAAGGCTACAGTACAAAGACGACGCCCTAATTCAGGAACGGTTGGAATATGAAACCACCTTATAAAGTGAAAGCACTTGCAGGAGCCACAACGTCCAGATGAAGGGGTGACAGCGGGGCTGGGGCAATAGTAATACTTCATCCTGTAGGGCAGTGAGCTCTAACGTGTAGTCCGGCCATCCTCATAACTGTGACTGATCGTCCATCAGCGCCTGCCTGTGGCTGGGCTCCTTTCTAACTAGCAGCACTAAAAGCGCCTTCCTCCACCCCAAGGAGCCAGCTTCCTATGACTGCTGCCGCCAAACTCCTCCTGCAGCCTGGGAACGCCCCCACCAGAGGGTACTATCACTAGGGAAAGTGTCTCCAACCGCTAGAGTCTTTCACTGATTTTCGCAGAAAGACACACTCACTAACACACACACACACACACACACACACACACACACACTGGTCCTCTGTTAAAATAGCTTAGGTGACTTTTCTTGACTCAAAAATTCTGATTCCCACAGGAATATAAGAACAAAGAGAGAGAAAATGTATCCCTCAAGACTCTAGGAAAAAGAAATAATATTCTTTAGAAAAGAATTCATAAACCATTCTCTCATTTGAAAACCAGTACCATGTGTGAAAAAGCTTACCCAGCGGACAGCAAACTCAAGTGTGTTTACACATATATTAGCGTTGATGCAGTGGTTCATTTTCTACACATTTCCAGATTTGTTTTTTATTTTCAATTTTCAGTTGAGAACATCTTTTATGACAGAAATCCTATGCAGCACACGTATGGCTTTGAACAAGGCCAAGGAGCTCGATAACGTCGTGATATAAATGGAACAATAACCATAATTCAGTATTCAATTGCAAGAATTTCATACATGCACAAAGAGAAGGTTAGGGGTTGGGGGGGCAAACTGAGAATCCAGGTCCCAGATAAGTGCAGCTTACACTGGAATCAAAGGGAAAGAACCAGGCCGGCCGTAACTGGCTGTACTTGCGCAGAGGGCGTGGCTCACTCTGTGGGCAGGTGCGATTCCGGAAGACGCCAGCCCACATCTTTCTAGTGCCAAACTACGACCAACCACAGGACTGACGCGGAAGCTCCAACAACTGAGAGTAGGTGGTGTGAGCCCCCAAGAGCAGATGAGAGGATGGACAATCAAGTTCTCCCCTGTGTACAGACTCACCCATTCCCAATCCAAGGTCAGAGTGATGTGTCTTTTAGAGGTTTTGGGATACTTTAGTAAGTATGAGCATACAAATGCAATGCGTATGCTATGAGGAAACCCTCTGAACTGCTGGAGGGCTTATCACTATATCCAGCTAAGATTTATATTTGAATCATCTGTAAAGTCGTACTCTTACAAGCTTCTGGTTTTAAATACCTCCGTCCAGCAAGTAACATTCCCTGCTTTCTGTTCTCAGTGTCCTTGGTCATGGTGCTTTTTGTTGCATTAAAGTGCCGGTCAAACTTTGATAGTATTTTTTTATAGTTGGTGCAGAGTGGAATAACTCATGGATTATTTCAATATTTTTGTAATGAAATATATAGGTATGCATATAGGCATTATCACTTTTTTTATAGACCTGGAATTATTTAAAGTACTCTAAGGATCGTACTTACTTAGGATGTCAGAAACTGGTCCACAAATCTATCATCCTGCCTCAGCAGATTGAAAACACTTGTCTCTTGCAAGACCACCTTACTCTGCAAGTTGGTGCCCCCAGGAACCTGGCCAGGGGTGCTATCAGAACATCAAGTGAAGAGAGAAGCAGCCTAAATAGAAAGGGTTTGTCGAGACTGGCCAACGTTTCCCAGGAAATCAAAGATGTAAATGCTTACTTTCATCTGTCCATTAGAACAACCCTGACCACAGTGGAAGATGTCTTAAATTTCCTTCCCAGGACTTATACTGGCCCAACTGCTACGCTGAAGATTAGTGAAGTCACTATAAAGGAAGGAGGGGGTCAGTTTAACCAAGTCATTCATTTACCTGGGTTGTCCAAGTCACTTAAACAGTCAAATTCTAGAGCCACCACTGAGTGTGTCATCCAGAGACTGCCACCCCCATGATGACATCCACAGAAGACGATAGAGGGCTCCACCTAGGACTTCTTTTGGTATAAAGCCCAAAGCAGTTTTTAAAAGATAAACAATTCTTATCAGCAGATCTATTTCCTAGTACTCCGTGACTTGATCCTCCAAGCAAGACTTCCGCCGAAACAGATAAATCGTCTAGTGGGAAGTGGAAACCTACCTAGTCACCAGTAACACTCCAGGAGGACGCTCTTCTTGTCAGTACATTGTGCAGTGAATGTCCCACCCCCATTGTGGAAGGAAAAAATGATGATTTTTTTTTGACAAAAATCTTCACTTCCGTGCAGAACCATGAGTTGTCAGCTTCATTCGTTCCAAGATAACTTTTAACGGATCTTTGGAAATTGAATTCTCAGTTGAACTAAACCTTGGAAACCATGTGTAGGTAGCTACTCGCGTATAATAATGTCAGTCAACACAAACACAGCGGCCCCCTCACCCTTCAGTCATGTAAGTTCTCAGCCACTTCTCACCTCGACCCCTCATGTAACATGTTAAGAGTTGCGTAAGTCCTGTAGAATTAATGCAAGTGCATTGTCCTTTGTCGTGGAGGGGAGGTTGGCTATAAGGAAGACGTAGAGCTTTGAACATCATATTGGTTGCCTAAATATTGTCAATAGTCTATATCTGACATACTTGAAAATTATGAAGCTTCAGCTGTGAATCCTTGGTAAGCAAGTTATATATCTACCATATTATAAACTTTAATTTTTCAGAAGATTGCGAGAACAAAGGAGAGGCCAGTCATGATTTAATCCCGGTTCTGTGACTCGGAAAGCGCCACACTGCCGGCTCTTGTGGCCGTAACGGGTCTGCGCACCTTTAGGGCTACATGGAAGAGTTTGAAGTACTAGGAGTTCATCGAGGTACAAAAGAGATCAAAGTCTGACTTTTGTATTGATATTTTAATTTCTCCTAAAATTTTAACTTGATACTAAAGCCTCTACAGAAAGTAAGCACAGTCCAGCAGGCCAGAGCCACTATTGGCATACAAATGGAGAAAGGGCTTGTTAGTGCTAGGCCCCGCCCTTGGGCCTGAGCCCTCTTCGACTCTGTTAAGAAGATGCTGGTGGTAGCATTCACTTTCTCCACAGGTACATGACATTTTCTAGAGGGAAAAATATTATAATTTTTTTTATCTTTCAAACTACTATTTCTCAATGACTCTATTTAAAGAATATGTGATATATATATATATATATATATCTTAACTATATAAAGACTTCAAGGTTTTTGTGAGGAAGAAAAATTTAAAACTTGATCCCAAAATGGCTCTATCCTTTAAATCCTTATAACTATTCCTCATCTACTTCAATGATACTGACTTTACAGACATTTAGTTACTATCCATTTATGATGAATGCTGTTTATCTGACAAAAGAAATTAATTCTCTCACCAACAGGTCAAGATAATCTAACTCAAGGGCTAGAAAAAGATAAAATACAAAAATAAATTGAAGATGAAAGTAAAATAAAGAATTTATAGTTAGTGCCCATGATAACCAATTACAAATAAACAGGAAGAACTGAAAATTCAATGACTATTTAAAAGAGAGGGCCAATGAGATAGCTCAGCAGACTAAGCGCCTGTCTAGGCATGCCCACCAGCCACCAAGTCGGCATGGTGGCGCATGCCTGTAATCCCAGCCCTGGGGAGGCTGAAGACAGGAGGATCGCCACAAGTCCAAGCTGCGTAGTGAGACCCTGTACCAAATACACACTGTCACACACATGCACACACAGAGTCATATAAGAAAGTGTTACTAAAGCAACATGAAAGAAGAAAGTGTGTCTTACTCTTCGCTACACATAAAGTTGTATGTTACTGACACGAGAACTTTTACCCAAGAAGGCTCCTCCTGTCCCTTTCTGAGATAAGCCTCCTGTGCAGTCCACACTTACACTGTATCAGCACATCTGGGGACTTCACTGGAAATACCTACACGTAATTCGGTGCCTCTTAGCTTGAATGAACTTCTTCACTCGTTAGGGATCTCATTTTTTAAGCAGTTTTGTGCCATTCAAAGTTTCTCTCTCTGAGCAGATTGAGTTAAGCAAGGAAGACCTGTGCTGTCTTTTGCAGAGCTGTATAAAGTTACACGTTCACTTTCAAATGTACAAAATGCACTGAGTGGAAACAAGTCTGACACAATGTTTAGACAAGAATCCGAGCACTTTTTTCTAAGGAACCATTTTCTTGACGAAATATAGACTCCTTGCCTTCTCAAAACATCTGTACCATTAGCCATTCCTGTTTCTATATAAAGACCGGGTGACATGCCTGCATTTTTATGATTCTAAGGAGAATTCCTTAAAGCCTTTTTAAAAATAGCTCAGACTGTCTTTCAAAATCTAGCTCAGAGGGTGGCTGCAGCACAGGGTGACACCACAACAGGACCAAGCTGGTCATTTGTGTAATTTCAGTGATGGGTACAGATCAACTCACATTCTTTTATCTCAGCAATCCAATGTCACTTTTGGAAATGATCAAAATCACCAGATCTGCCAGCTCACAGAGCCTGGCACTCCTCCCGCCTGCTGCTTGAGCGCTTCGGGATGGCTGAGGATGGGCGTTTCCCTCTGGCCCCTGTTTCTGGGACTGTGGACAGTAGATCTGCTCTCCCCCATGGGCACACATCTGTGGACACACATCTTCTCCAATTGCCATCCTGAAACGGGCACATGGGAAGACCGTCGGCAGTGCCAGTGATGGACAGCCTCCACGGGGCTCGCGCTAAAGCAAAACTGCAGGATGTGCATGGAATTGAATAAAAATATAACGAGCCATTTAATTTTGTTAATTGTAGCAATTAGGCTAGCTCGCAAGCTGCCGGCTCCTGAAGCAGAAGGCCTAATGGAAGAAGTGGCCAACAGCAACGTGTCTATAGAAATAAAGGGTTCAGAGACTCTCCCTTGAGTAGATGAAGTGGCATGTTAATTCCATTTCCACCTGAATTTCTTTCTTTAGACTCCATAGAGAAAAATCCATCAGACTTTCACTGTATTGCAGGCAGAGATGCAGCTCAGAAAGGTGACCCTTAGCACCCTGGTGCTCTATGTTCTACTACATTACAGCCAGCTCAATGTCCCTGACATGTGTAATCATTTTGCTAAAATGTTTTCATGTTATCCTTACATAGCATAAGTCAGAAATAAATGGACTCAGTTGAATTTTTGCTCTGGTTCTTGGGTTTTTGCCTAGAGTTTCTGGCAGCTCCCGTGCCGGTGGATCCCGCAGCCTGCGCCGCCGGGTGCCGTGCGGTCGGTGCTCTCTCGGCCCTCCCAGCTCTCTCTGG